GTGTGTGTGTGTGTGTGTGTGTGTGTATGTGTGTATGTGTATGTGTATGTGTGTGTGTGTGTGTATGTGTGTATGTGTATGTGTATGTGTGTGTGTGTGTGTGTGTATGTATGTATGTATGTATGTGTATCTGCCTTGCATTTAATATATCATCAACAAAATTTCATTTTAGGCCTCTGAAACAGTCACAAAGCATAATGCTTCGTGAAGATTTTGAAATAAGCACACAGAGACACAGCGAAACATCGCAACCGATCTTCTTTGGCTCAGTCAAAATCCTATTCACTAGGAAAAGAGACACCGGCCATTGGCAATTGCAAATGTCGCAGTTTCAATGTACAAACTGCATATCTTCAGTAGAAACATACGGTTGTATATAATAACTAAATGACAGTTGTGAAAAGTGAATACCTTTTTTTTTCCATTATCACATAGTTTTCTAAGTTATTCTTTTGTGTAAGATTTTCGTGAACGTTTTAGACTTCAGTTGTGAGTTTTGATGAATTATCAGTTAACAGCTTATGATTGCGGTCATCCTAATTTTTGCGATAACGATCATGCACGACTGATGTGACATCTTGAAAGAAGCTCGAAACGACAGGGAAAACCCAGTGAATTGTTCGGAAATGCCTTTGTTGAGTGCTGTTAGATATTTAAACCTTCATTCACAGCACAAATATTATTTGCTTCAGAAAGAAAGTGGTCTAGATAAAGAATTGACGAATAATAAGAGTATTTGCGTAATTTTTTCAACATTAAAGATAAGGAATTCAGAAAAATATATGTAACTTTATCAGGAAATCGTAGATGTAGAAGGTTTTCTTGAGCCAAAATTATGTAAATTTAGAAGTTTACGTTGACAGCGGTAAAGTTTAATCGCTGAGCTATCGAAGACCAATGCTTCTTCAAGAGTCTTCCTGTAGCAACTGTTGATTTCTTGTAGAAGATGGTACTGTTTCATTTCAGAAAAGTGCGCCATTAATCGATTCCACTGGCTTTAGGACATGTGCTTTTCAAGTGATAAAGCAGAAGTTTCATTAAAAGCATCAATTTTGTGAATCGGTTTGAATACTTGAAGGATGACATTTTCCATTCGTAACAAATATTCAGTAATAAAAGAGATAAATGGAATGCTGGAGGTGTATCTTAACATGGCCAGAATGTTTCTATTTGGCTCATTATTTCACTCTCATGAGAGCTTATTTTTCCATTAAAATATAGAAAAAAGTTGACAGAGTTTTGTCACACGAACAATTTCACAAATCACTTCGAACTTTTTTTTTCTATTTCTTGCTAGACATCGTTCTTTACTGCATTCCTATTTGTTTTCCATTCCAAACTGGTATATTCTGAGAAAGTGTCACTAATTTACTTCTATCATTTTTGTTCATATTCGTTCAGCAGAGCTGACAGAATTGAATTTCAATAAAGCTTGAAATTCAATTCATAATATGAATCTTTATTACTTAATTGGTTCAAATTACAGGTGGTCTGTAACGAAACGGTAACAGAAGATCCGGAAACGGGTATAAGAAAGCGTACAGTGGTAACGGAACGAGTAGTTACAACCAAAGCATTCCATGTCATACCGATCAAGGATGATCTGGATCACTCAGTAACGACAGTTAATGAAAGCGCAGTACTTCATGATGATAAATCAAAAATGTCCTGTACAACGGATTCAATTCGTAAAAATGGTGAAATATCATCTCCCTTGTCAATGGAAATATTATCCACAACGACTGCAAGAACCATACAACTTAGTTATAATCCATTCCGTGAAATTGACTACGATCGAGTTGCCAATTTGATCATTATTACCCGAGTGAAGCCAGACTCCGTTGCCAAAGTATTGCTTTCCTGATATCGGTTTCTTGTGCTTTTTAAATGATTTGTATTAATGAAGAATAATATAGCATGAAATAGTGGACAAAAGTTATCATTTCTGCAGTTATCACTTGAAATGATGGCTTGTAAGTTGGACTAAGACATAGACATATCTTAGTTGGTTAACTTTAAATTGAAATCATTTTAAAGCGAGTGGGAAGAAGAAACGTTAAAATTAGAAGTTCGGAATTCCTCGTTTTTTATTTTCTTCCCTTTGAGAAAATTTTGGACATTGCTTCTTTTACTCAGTTGTGATGATGCTTGCTGAGATTTGACAGGATATTCGTGCAGGCGATGCGATCGTTGAAATCAATGGGATATCTGTCACCCAGATCAAGCGGTTAACGGAGCTGAAAGGTAGCATAATACTGAAAATAATGCCAGCACCTCTGCATCAGGGGCCATCAGTAAGTGTACTTATTTCCTGATGTTAACTAGGGATATTTTCCGAAAAAAGAACATTGGAAATGGTCAAAAATCGGCTTTTCACTTGCTTGTTTTGGTGAATTGTTTGACCAGATCTGAAGACTTAATTGCTTAATTGCTGAATCCAGTTGACTAAACCAATTTCAAATATTACCTCTTGCCATATTAGGAAGAATTGTGGAGATATGATTTTTTTTTCTCCTTGAAAGAGTTTTCCCTTCCGGTTAGTTTGAAAATAAGAGTTTTTCTTATTTATGCATTTCATTTTTAATTTAAGCTCTTGAATTTTCTCGTTATGTTGTGGACTTGTGATGGATACCTTAAAAGTATCTAGCAGTTCTCCCTTATCTATATAAAAGACGTTTTTGGTTTCAAATTCAGGTTTATTACCGTGCAATATTGGATTATGATGGTTCACATGATAGTCGTGTACCAACTAATTTCAGTGTTCTGAATTTGAAAAAAGGTGATGTTATCCAAGCGTTCAGCATGGATTCTAATTGGATTCAGGTCGAAGATTTGAATATTTTAACAATGCAATTTATTTTCGTCATCGTTATTTAGATCATTCATTATTATTTCTACATCTAACTTATAGCGGGTATTGTTTTGCTGAAGTGAATTTGGGATTTATCGAAATATCTTCCCTCGTTTCCAATCGGGAGCAAATCTGATGCCCAGATGGAACCTATGAAAGGAATAATATACTTAGTGAAAGAAGATGGGTCAGGTTTGATAAAATCATACGTAATCATACGTGATTTGGAAGCAAAGGACAAACCAATCAAATTTTTAAAGATATTTAAAAGCTGTTACAGGGGCGGAAAGTGAATGATTTAAACCAATCAGGGCTGTGCCCAGTGAATATACTTGGTGAGCAGGTCTCAATGCTTTCCCCTTATGGTCGGCGAGTTTTGGTGTTATTGGGTGTTCCAGGTGTTGGACGCAGAACTCTCAAAACGATGCTTCTGACTCATATGCCTCAATACTTTGCAACTGCCACTCCTTGTAAGCTAACCTTCTGGTTCAATACTGTCATGAAAATTCTTTAATTAGTGAGTAAGATGTTTGTATATGCTTAAATTTAGGTCATTCTGAAGGGCTTCTGTAAAGCGAGTGCAGTGCAGAGCTTGTAGGATCAACTTTATTCCTGATAATATGAAATTGAGTGGGGAATGAATATTGAGATTTCTGTAGTAAAATAGCTACACATAATCATAACAATATGATATGAGAAGTACAACTTGTTGCTAATGATTTTTACTACAATTAATATTAACAATGAGCTTTGGTTGGAAATTCTTCAGATACTTCTCGTGTTCCAAAACCTAACGAATTGGAAGGTCGCGAGTATTATTTCCGCACGAAGGAGGAAATGTTAGAGAGAATTCGGGCTGGTGATATGATTGAATGGGGAGAACTAGATGAACAATTTTACGGCACTAGGTTCCTATATCCTCCTTCTGATTCGTTTTATTGTATGCACTTTTTTTATCGAATATTACTTGTTCCATCATGATATACAATCTTTATACGGAGAGCAAGAAAGGACCGGGTAATATTCCCGGGAAAATTCATCAGGTATATCGAGGAAAGTTCATCAGATACTAACGACTTTTTTTGTTACTTACGACTTATATCGCGTTGCAGTCTGGAAACAATACGAAGCTGCATTCGAAGCGGACGAGTTTGTTTGTTGGATTGTGGACCGCAAGCTTTGCCACATTTATACAATGCAGAATTTATGCCACTTGTTGTATTGATTTCTCCTCCGGAAATTGACGATTTTCGACAAATAAATAAGCTTCGACCGCGGCCTTACACCGAAGAGCAGATGAAAGCTTATATTTTGGAAAATAAGAAACTGATGGAGAGCAGTTATGCCAAAATGTTTCATATTGTTTTGGTGAATAGGAACTTAGACGTCACTTTCAAAAGGTCTTTCCTTATTTGTTCATTGTACAAATAGTGTTACTCCGCGGTGTTGCGAAATCCAGGACTTTTTTTTATAACAGTTCAAGTGTGATTAAAGTATCATATCGGGTTCAAAAGCTATTCAATATATTTTTTCTGGCTGGTTTCATATGATGAAACATTTTGAATTATTGAAATTCATCTGGACTGAGAAGAGTCGAAGAATGTGAAAGGCAAAGAACAATAAATCAAAAGTTCCGAATCAAATTATTCCTAAATTTTGCATTTAAGGAAATATTCAAAATCTATAAGATGTAATTTTAGGCTGATGGAGACTTTGAGTGAACTGAGAGATGAAGTGCAATGGGTGCCAGAAGCTTGGCTGCATCGAAGATGAACGGTTTTTTTCTTTTGAATAAATTGAGTTTAAACCCCTTTTTTGATTTCGCATTTCATTTTGTAAGTCAAAGGATACATTCCCAGTGAATTTTCGGATTATTTTTCGATTGCTGAGATATTTTATATAGTGCGAATTGTTCCAGTTTCTAATTCATGAGATGGGACGTTAATGTTTTAAACCGGCAAACCATGTTTTTTTTTTTTTTTNTTTTTTTCAGAAGATCATGAGACTTCCTT